ACTAATAAACCCCAATGATCCGATCAAAATTAGGGATTTCGATCAGATCATTGGGGGGACACGTGCCACCCCCCCCCCCCCCACTGGCTCCGCCAGTGGTCGCGCGGGATAACGTAACCCTGGATTTTTTAAGTGAGGGGGCATAAAAAGCGGAGCCTGGAACCGTTCAGGGAAACTTGTCTTCAACCTCCTGGCTGCCAAGACCCACTCCCTGCCATCCTGCCTTCTCGAGCCGCTCGCAGCATCCGTGTGATGCCAGTGAGTGCGGCTCCGAGGCGGTGATGGGTGAAGTTATCTTTCGTCCTCCTCCCTCCGACTCTCACAGCGTCCGTGCGACGCCGTGAATGCAGCCGCGAGGTACGTGATAGGGCGTGTGAGTATTTGGGGACTTGGGTAGCAGTAAGCTAGGCTCTGCTCGCAGAATATTCCCTACGGGCAGTGCGGGGTATACGCCGCGAATAAAAGTTAGCACAGAGCATCGGTGCGGTGTCCGTGATGTATGTGTGGAGTGGCTGCAGGGGAAGCGCGCTGCGACGGCGAACGCGGAGCCGCAGCACGAAGACATGTTGAGCTAATCGCTCTCCGGCGTGGGCGCTCGCGTGCCGCTGTGTGCTGCTGTAGCGTTGGCTGTGGTGTGCGTGGGTGCGTGGGAGTTAACTCCGAGCCAGCAGTACGAGGATGTCCCTCAGAGGGGGCGCTCGCGAGGGGGGCCCGATCACTCGCCCGGAGGGGGGCTCGGCGGGAGCCGACTGACGCGTTGGAGCGGAAGGGGCGAACGTCGCGCCGCACCTGCCGAGCGAGCGCGGTGGGGTGGACGTCGTCCCCCACACGTTCACACACCCACACACGTGGAGCTGCGAGGATGGGAGCGGTGGCCCACTGTGCGTGTAGCGATGGGCATCCACTCGGCTCTTGTAGCTGCCCCCGCCGCTGCTGCCCCTGCTGCTGCTATCGTCCAGAGCCGTGGCGAGGCCGCTCATGCCGAGTGGACTGCATCGGAGCCATGCAGGTGTCACGTACAACTCGAGGGTAGATTAAACAAGTTTGTGCGTGGGTTAGATGTAACCTACAAGCAACTGTTGACTCGTTATATTAGTCGTGAAAGCAAGCGTATAACATTAATTGATTAATTAGAGTAATTACGGGATTTAAAAAAAATCTATATTGAAAACTAATTCTTTTTAGAACAGTTTTTTTGTGTTGTTTGTTGTCCTTCCCGCGCGCCTCCGATTAGGACGGTGGGATACGTACGGTGCGAAAGAAGTTCAACATGCATACAAAGTGATAATTGAACCTGATGGCAGGACCCCGGGGTCCCGAAAAAACGGAAGGCAAAATCGTAATTAATTAATTTATTTTTGGCGACTCCGTCCCACCGCGCACATCAGCGCCGCGACCCGCCTGGCGCGGACGTTCTGTTGCAAAACTTTTAAACTTTGATTAGCGCATCGTGTGGAGCTAATCTAGAGGAACTGATTGCCGCGCCGTTCGCCTTCAACAGACATAAAATGACGTCGCACACCTAGGGGGGGGGAGGGGGGTCAGACTTTGTGACGATGTGTGACGAGGGGGGGAGGGGGGGTTTGAGAAATGTGACGTCACATCAAAATGCGCAACTTTAAATAAATGTAAACAATATAATTGTTATAACGACACTAATTTTGATTAATTTTCATCATGAACTATTTTATTATTAATGAAGGAGTATTTTTCTTCTCCATGGGAGAATGGAGAAGCACACATTGTGTAACATTTTCGAATGATTGTTATTAATGAATATGATTGTCATAATTGTACTCTCCATTTTGCTTCGTTCTACTACAAAGTTTCAAGTAATTTTTTTATAGCTATAATTATTTTTAATATTTTATAATTATATGAGAATTTCAATATAATATTCTGAACATCTGCAGTTTTAGTTAGACGTTGAATATTTTCAAGTGAATTTTATGCTAAATTTCAGCTTTCCAACGGCTCCTTTTTAATAAATGCTTTCTCCTACAATATCAGAGTGCAGCGCCACATTAAATACGCACTACAATGACAATAGTTTAAAGTCATTTGAAGCATATTTTATAACAAAAAAATGGAAATATGGTTGGGGGGGGGGGCAGAGCTTTGTGACGTCATATTTGAGAGGGGGGGGGTCTGACTTTTTCTGACGCCGTGTAACGGGGGGGGGGGGGTCTCACCCCGTGTGAGGGGGGTTTGTGACGCCGTGTGACGAGGGGGGGAGGGGGGGGTCAAAAATCGGCCAAAACCGCGTGACGTCATTTATGGACGGCCCCTAAGGTTCATATTCCCGATCATACCCATATCACGTGATTCGTGTAGCATCGTCTTACCAGTGATATCGCGATAATCGTTACATCGTGATTGATATCGTCTCAATGGTGATCGCGCGGCGCGTTCGCCACGAGGGGGCGCGATGCCCACGCTGTTTGCAGCACAGGGACAGAGGCGGCTTAGCGAGGCCTTCATCCAGCAGTGGATTGAGCAGGCTGAAGACGCACTATAGAATCACGTATAGCCACAGCACGCGCAGACTCCGAGCTACCCCCCCCCCCCACACACAATCACCCAGCAGTGGGTAGACACGGCACTGGATGTGCCCGCGCGCTCCGCGTGCAGCAGCGCGGAGTCACGCGTGGGGCAAGAGCCGTCCGTGCATTCGACGTCGGAATTACATAACCACAACAACATCAATCAGCAACAACAATCTGCCACAACAATCGGCAACAACGATCAGCCGCGTGGTTGAACCCAGGGCCGCCGAGTCGCGAGCGCAGATCGCCTCCTCCACATGCGTGCGGTTACACGGAAGGCGCCCACGATAGATGCAGCTGATGATGATGTTGCCCACGATAGATGCAGCTGATGATGATGTTGCCCACGATAGATGCAGCTGATGATGATGTTGCCCACGATAGATGCAGCTGATGATGATGTTGCCCACGATAGATGCAGCTGATGATGATGTTGCCCACGATAGATGCAGCTGATGATGATGTTGCCCACGATAGATGCAGCTGATGATGATGTTGCCCACGATAGATGCAGCTGATGATGATGTTGCCCACGATAGATGCAGCTGATGATGATGTTGCCCACGATAGATGCAGCTGATGATGATGTTGCCCACGATAGATGCAGCTGATGATGATGTTGCCCACGATAGATGCAGCTGATGATGATGTTGCCCACGATAGATGCAGCTGATGATGATGTTGCCCACGATTATGCTGATGATGCTCACGATGCTGCTGATGATGCTCACGATGCTGATGATGCTGCTGCTGATGCTGCTGATTATGCTCACGGTGATGCTGCTGATGATGCTCGCGGTGATGCTGATGATGCTGCTGATGATGTTGCCCACGATGATGCTCACGGTGATGCTGATGATGCTCACGATGATGATGATCACGATGATGATGATGCTCGCGGTGATGATGATGCTCGCGGTGATGCTGATGATGCTGCTGATGATGTTGCCCACGATGATGCTCACGATGATGCTGATGATGCTCGCGGTGATGCTGATGATGCTCGCGGTGATGATGATGATGATGCTCGCGGTGATGATGCTGCTCGCGGTGATGATGATGATGATGATGCTCACGATGATGATGATGCTCGCGGTGATGATGATGATGATGATGCTCGCGGTGATGATGATGCTCGCGGTGATGATGATGATGATGATGCTCGCGGTGATGATGCTGCTCGCGGTGATGATGATGATGATGCTCGCGGTGATGATGCTGCTCGCGGTGATGATGATGATGATGCTCACGATGATGATGCTCACGATGATGATGATGATGCTCACGATGATGATGCTCACGATGATGATGATGATGCTCACGATGATGATGATGCTCACGATGATGATGCTCACGATGATGATGATGATGATGCTCACGATGATGATGCTCGCGGTGATGATGATGAGATGGACTGGACATTCCTGCTCATGTTACCCTCCTTTTCTCTCCCTCTCCCAATCTCTTTCCTTCCTCTTCATCTCTCCCTCCCTCCATCTCCCCTTCAATCTCTCCCTCTCTCTCCCTCGTTCTCCCTCTCCCCATCTCTTTCCTTCCATTCCTCCCTCCCCCTTTCCCTGCACGGAATGGTCGCTTCTCTCGTCTGCCGCCCTCCCACGTCTCCCAGACGCGAGTGAGTGCGTGCCCACGCACGCACTCACGCACGCGTGACGCAAGCAATCGCGTGCACGTTAGAGGCGAGCTCTCTTACGCAATGAGGTGGCCGGCACACGCTCTCACACACACACACACAAAGATCCTCCGTATAGCCTACGCAGACTTTTGTGGCAAGTGCTGTTAGCGAGCATCTATGTAGGTCGGCACGGCACACGAGAGGGTTGGTGGCCAACACCACGCCCGGCCGCCTTTGTCTCCCTCATTTGAGGCCCAGGACCGGCTCAGATAATCGTCACTGTTGTTGGCCATGAGCTGGGATCGGACTCGGGTCACCGGATTCGTAGCCCAGCGCGCTAACCGTTGCACGACCGCTCCCCATGTGTACAGACATGCGCGTGCAACATACGTGTACACATGCACATGCATGACACGCTTGCACACACATACCCATATACGTGCACGTATACAGAAACGTATACATACACGTACACATGTATATAATACAGACGCGCATACTAACACGTGTACACACGGACACATACACATGCATACACATGCACACATGTAAACACACATACACGTTTACACACTGATACCACTACGCGAGCTATGTGGCACCAACAACACTCACCCTGCAAAGATGTACACACACACAGACACCATCACACACTGTCAAACACACACACTGCCACGCACACACACGCGCGCAGCCACCCACATTGCATGCAGACCTCCTCCACCCCCACCCCTCCCCCATTCCTATCCCCCCACCCCTCTGCCCCCCCACCCCCAATCATACCCCCACGACCCCCACCCAACATCACAGATCTGGGGGTGGGGGTGCTGCTGCTGCTCGCCGCGTTCAGCAGCAGCGGCGGCGGCGTCGTCGTCTCCCTCTCGGTGCGGGCGCCTCTCCGCACGTCTCATCCCAGCCCCGAGCCGCCCCCCACCGCCGCCTCCCCCGAGGAGCGGCGTGAGGATTCGGCGGGGGCACGTTTATTCTTCCCGTTAACAACAACGACGACGGCAGCAGCAGCAGCGGCGGCAGCAGAAGAAGAAGCAGCGCAGGGATTGCGCATAAATACTGCGTGCCGGAGCCGGGGCTCGAGGGCTCGTTGCGGATTGTGTATATTCTTTATTTATTGAGTCGTTGTATGTTTTTAATGAAATAGATCGACGTGGCTCAGTGTGTGTCGGCGAGCCTGCTGCTGAGCGTGCTGGTGAGTCTGTGGGTATCGACAGGACCCGGCGGCCGGCGCGCGCGTGCGCGCGCACCGCGCACGCCCATGTGATCCCCAAGGTTGATGATGATGATGATGCCTATGATGATGATAACGACGACGATGAAGACCGGGATGACGCTGATGATGATGACGACGCCTGTGCAGACGCTGACAACCGCGATCCCACCATCAACAACAACAGCAGCGGCGGCGGCATCGACAGCGTAAAAAAAAACAACCGCACCGAGACTCGGGCGACCATGACCGCGCAGCGGGCGTGAGCGGCTCCGCATGCATGCGGCGCTCGGCCGGGCAGGCATGGAGCAGCAGCAGCAGCAGCAGCCGCAGCAGCAGCAGCAGCAGCAGCCTCCGCAGCAGCAGCAGCAGGCGACAGGCAGCAGTGGTAGCAGGGAGTGCAGTGGCGGTCATGAGGACGTGCGCAAATGCGGCTATCTGCGCAAGCACAAGAGCTCGCACCGCCGCTTCTTCGTGCTGCGCGGAGCCAGCGACGCGGGCGGCCCGGCCCGGCTCGAGTACTACGACAGCGAGAAGAAGTTCCGCGGCGGCGCGGCGCCCCCGCGGCGCTCGGTCAGCCTCGCCGCCTGCCTCGGCATCATCCGCCGCGCCGACGCCAAGCACAAGCACCTGCTCACGCTCTACGCCAAGGACGAGTGCCTGGCCATGGCCGCCGACAGCGAGGAGCAGCAGGCCGAGTGGTACGCGGCGCTCACCGAGCTGCACGACGAATGCTGCAGGGCGCCGCACGGAGCAGCAGCGGCGGGGGGAGGAGGAGGAGGAGGATGCGGCGCGGCGGCCGGTGGAGGAGGAGCAGGAGGAGGGATTTTCGGCGCGGCCAGCGATGCGGGCGGAGGAGGCGGCGGCGGCGGCGACAGCGGCGAAGACGCCGGGCCCGCGGGGTGCGCGGGCGGCAGCTACGGAACGATGCCGGCCACCCCCGTGTTCAAGGAGGTGTGGCAGGTGAACCTCAAGCCCAAGGGGCTGGGGCAGACGAGGAACCTGACGGGCGTGTTCCGCCTCTGCCTGGGCACGCGAACCATCAGCTTCGTGAAGCTCAACGCGGACGCGGCGGCCGTGAACCTGCAGCTCATGAACATCCGACGGTGCGGCCACTCGGAGAGCTTCTTCTTCATCGAGGTGGGCCGCTCGGCCGTCACGGGGCCCGGGGAGTTCTGGATGCAGGTGGAGGACTGCGTGGTGGCGCAGAACATGCACGAGACCATCCTGGAGGCGATGCGTGCCATGAGCGAGGAGTTCCGACCTCGGAGCAAGAGCCAGACGAGCGGCGGCGCGGGCGGCGCGGCCGGCGCTGCCGGAGGAGGCCCCCACCGGCGCCAGCAGCGCTACCAACCCCCGCCGAGCCAGACGGGCCTCAACCGGCGCTCGCGGGCCGAGAGCGTGGCCGGAGCGTCCCCCGTGAGCGGCGGCGGCGGCGGCGGCGTCACCCCGCAGGGGAGCGGCTTCTGCGCCTCGCAGCTGCGGAACCGCGCGAGCAGCGAGGGGGACGGAGCTCCGGGCGCGCCGCGCTCCGAGTCTGCGGACGCCATCTCGGCGCGCCTCCTCCTCCTGCAGGGGGAGGACGCCGAGGGCCGGCTGCAGTCCTCTCAGCTGGTGTGCGCGGGGCGCCGGCAGCAGCAGCACCACCAGCACCACCAGCAGCAGCAGCATGGGCAGGTAATCGCATCGTACCAGCGGCATCAGTCTCGCATGCAGCAGCAGCAAGGACATCTCCACCACCACCAGCAGCAGCAGCAGCTGCACCACGCGGCGGCCACGCTGCTGCCTGGGCGCTCCGTGTCGGCGCCCATCGCGCGATCCCCCCCCGCGGGTGGCTGCTCCCCCTCGTCCCTGCTGCTCTTCTCGGCATCGTCTCTCATCACGAGCCCCGTGAGCGTCTCCTCCAGCAGCGGCCGCGGCTCCGTGGACGCCCCCTGCTGCGTGGGCAGCCTGGGCAGCACGGGGGGCGGCGGGGCCGGCGGCGGCGGCGTCGGCGGCGCGGCCGGACACGCGGCAGTCGGCGCGGGAAGCTGCGGGGCCGCGGCGCTGGCCCGCGGCTCTCGCCCCTCGAGCGCCTCCATGTCGCTCGGCTCCCTGAGCGACGGGGGCTTCGTGTCCTCGGACGAGTACGGCTCCAGCCCCTGCGAGCCGCGGGGGTCCGCGACCCCCGACTCGCCCAGCCCGACCCCGTGCGCCATCCGCGAGGAGGAGGAGGAGGCGGCCGCGGCGGCCGCGGCGGCGGCGGCGAGGGGAGGCCCCTACGCCTACATGCAGATGGGCCGCGCTCGCGTCTACAGGGCCGCGCCCCGCGGGCAGGACGCCCCGGACGCAGCCACCACCTCGTCCACCGCCTCGTCCACCTCCCCCGGTTTCCCCCCAGCCTCGTCTTCGTCGCAATCGTCGGCGGCGGCCGCGGTTGCGGCGGCCCTGGCCTCGGCGGAGAAGGGGGTCGTGCGTAAGCGAACATACTCGTGCGCGTCGGCGTCCGCGGGGCCCGCGATGCCACCGGCCGCGCTCGGGCCCTGTCTCCAGCAGCGGGAGCAGGAGAAGACAGCCTCGCAGGAAGAGTATGCGGTCATGGGAGCGCTGTCTTACCAACACCACCATCAGCATCATCAGCAGCACCTCCAGCAGCAGCAGCATCATCAGCAGCACCTCCAGCAGCATCATCATCAGCAGCAGCAGCACGCGCCGGGCCGTGAGGCCGCTGCGCCTCCTTGTTGCCCGCACACTCGCGACCCGCACCATGGCGACCACGACGATGATTATGACGATGACGACGGGGGCGGTGGCGACGATGAGGAGGACGACGATGCGGCCGGAGGAGGAGACGTGCAGTCCAGGCTGGTGCATAGCGGGGATGACGGCTACATGCCCATGCTGCCCGGCGTCACCGCCTCCGTCGCGGGAAGGTGCAGGAGCGGCGGCGATGCAGACTACGTGCCCATGGGGGCCACGGGTGCCCGAGATGGTGACATAACCGCAGCCGCCGCCACCACCACCTCGGCAGCGGCAAGAGGATCGCTGATACAACATCAGCAGCGGCAGCGGTACCATCACCACCATCACCAACAGCAGCAGAAGCAGCCGTGGCAGCGCGGCCAAGACGGCCTCTGCGACGCGCAGCCCCAGGACGCTGCTAGCGGCTACATGGTGATGTCACCGGGCGCGGGCGAGGGCCAAGCGGCCGGGTCCATCAAGACGTGGCCCAGGCCCAGCGTGGCCAGCGGTAGTGGCGGCGGCGTCGTTGGTAGCGGCGTCGGCGTCGGCGTCGGCGCGAAGGCGGCGTGTGAGAGAAGCGTGGAGGCGCGGGCAGGCCCGCCGGGAGCAGGCGACTACATGAACATGGCCACGTCACCCGCCAACCCGGCCATCGTGGCGGACACAGCGGCTGTGCCAGAGGGCTGCTACTTCAGCCCCATGCGGGATGGGGAAGGCGCGGGTGGTGCTGGTGGTGGTGACGGTGCTGCTGGCAGCAGCAGCAGCTTCTACTCGTTGCCCCGGTCCTTCCGGCCCGTGGGGCAGCAGAGTAGCAGGCTGGCGGAGAGGGCGGCGGCTACTCGGCCACTCGGGGAGGTCATCCGGGAGGCGAGGGACGCCGCTCCGACCCCCACGAGCAGGCCCGCCGCGCTCTCCCGGCCCCGCGAGGACGCCTCGAGCAGTGACCCCGGGAGGCAAGGAGGCGCACGCGTGAGCGGGGCCCCGAGGCGGGTCGGGGGAGCGGCGGCGGAGGGGGTCACCACGAGGGACGCACAGGGCCGGTGGCAGGGAGCTCCCCCCGAGCCCAGGAGCCCCGGGGAGTACGTGCACATCGACTGCGCCGCGGCGGCGAAGGCGGCCTCCCAGCCCGTCTCATCGTCGTCCGCTTGGCGCCCCCCGCAGCACGCGGCAGGGCCGCAGCAGGGCAAGGCCCCGGACGGTTGCCGCGCAGCGCACCGCGGCCCCCCGTACCTGGCGCTGTCGTCGGGAGGCGCCGCCGCCGCCGCCTCGGCCGCGGCCGCCCAGACACGCGGCGATCGTCGGAGGAGGAGCGCGAACGAATACGTGAGTGTGGCGGCGGCGGCGCGTGCCGGGGGGCCACCCGCGTCCGTCCCGGCGGGCCCCCGTCCCGCAGCCCACCCGGGTCCGTGGGACGCCGCCTCGGCTGGGCGCGGCGCCCCCGTGGGGGGGGACTACACGGAGATGTCGCGCCGCGGGGAGGCGAGCGCGGAGGAGGAGGAGGCGGCGGGGAGGAGGAGGAGAGACGCGACTGGGGGGTACTCGGCCCCCACCGCCTCATACAGGGCTCCTCACGGCAGCTACAACCTCCAGCATCACCACCACGGGAACCACAACCACATCCACCACTATCAGCTGCTGCAGGAGCAGCAGCATAAGCCACTCCCTCTCCCACAGCAGCAACAACATCAACAATATCACCAACAGGAGCATCATCATCAGCACCCTCAGCAGCAGCATCAGTCGCACGCAGGAGTGAGGCCCGGATATGCGGCACTGAAACCCTGCGTGCCGCCAAGGATCGGCTTGGCCTTCCAGCCGTACGCGGCCGGGTCTGGCGCGGTGGTCATCCCGGCCACGACCGGGGCCACCGCCGCACCACCGCCACCTCCTCCCCCTCCTCCTCCACCAGCGGCGCCGCGCCGGCAGAGCGCGTTCAGCGTGGTGCCACCAGCAGCCGCGCAGCACGGCGCGACGCGGCCCGGGACCGCGGCCACGACGGACGAGGAGGAGCGGCCACGCGGTGGCGTGGCCCGGGTGGCGGTGGCCTCATCGGCCGCCGCGACCCCGCAACGGCCCGGCGCGGCCGGAGGACACCACGGCGCGGGTCCGGTGCGAGAAGCCGCCGGGTCTCACTCTTTGCATCAGCAGCATCATCAGCAGCAGCATCAGCAGCAGCAGCTGGAGAGCGGGCTGAACTACATCGCGCTGGACCTGCGGGGCGAGGAGGGCTCGGCGGGCAGCAGGGGCAGCGTGAGCAGCGTCGACTCAAACGGTTACGCCACCATCGACTTCTCCCGCTCCGAGAGCGCGGGGTGACGCGGTGAGTCGCGACTCGCTCACCCCGAGACTCACCTTGACAATCACCCTGAGACTCACCCCGAGACTCACTCCGACAGGACACCTCATCCTCACGAGACTCACCTGAACGAGATTCACCCAAGTACTCACCCTGACGAGACTCGCCCATAGTTCACCCCGAGACTCACCACGAGACTCACCACGAGGCACACCCCGTGGCTCACTCAAGGGGCTCACTCAGAGTCTCACCTTTAGACTCGCTCACAGACTCACCCCGTGACTGACACGGACACTCACCCAGAAACTCACCTGGAGACTCACACGGACACGTACCGAGATACGCTGTCCAATAATAGAGTGTTAGCCCCACCCCTTGGCACGAGTGGGGTTTTCTCCGGACACTCCTCCCTCCCACGTGTGTCGTCGACTAGGTGGTCGAGGAATTCTGGCAGACAGCCCCAGTACGTACAGGACCACAAAGCTTGGGCATTTGTTGGTCGCGCGCCGCTTATGGCGGCCTTCCAGCTCAGCTGTGGTTTCCCATGCCGCGAAATCATTCTCTCGCTCTCTCTGAACCATTCTCTCTCTCTGAATCATTCTCTCGCTCTCTCTCTCTCTCTGAACCATTCTCTCTCTTTGAATCATTCTCTCGCTCTCTCTCTCTCTGAACCATTCTCTCTCTTTGAATCATTCTCTCGCTCTCTCTCTCTCTGAACCATTCTCTCTCTTTGAATCATTCTCTCGCTCTCTCTCTCTCTGAACCATTCTCTCTCTTTGAATCATTCTCTCGCTCTCTCTCTCTCTGAACCATTCTCTCTCTTTGAATCATTCTCTCGCTCTCTCTCTCTCGCTCTCTCTGAACCATTCTCTCTCTCTGAATCATTCTCTCGCTCTCTCTGAATACTTATCTCCCACTGAAGCATTCTCTCTCAGAACCGTTCTCCCTCTCTGAATCATTCTTTATTTCTGAATCATTCTCTCTCTGAATCATTCTCTCTCTGAATAATTATCTATCTCTGAATCATTCTCTGTCTCTGAATAATTATCTATCTCTGAATCATTCTCTGTCTCTGAATAATTATCTATCTCTGAATCATTCTATCTCTGAATCATTCTCTCTCTGAATAATTATCTATCTCTGCATCATTCTCTGTCTCTGAATACTTCTCTAGCTCTGAATCATTCTCTCTCTAAATAATTATAAATCTCTGAATCATTCTCTGAATCATTCCCTCTCTGAATCAATCTCTCTCTGAATAATGATTGCTCACTGAATCATTCACTCCCTTTCTGAAAGCGAATGATTCAGAGAGAGACAATTCATTTTCTCTTTCTGATAGCGAATGATTCGGAGAGAAACTTCAATCTTTCTACATCTGAGAGTGAATGATTCAGAGAGAGATAATTCATTTTCTCTTTCTGATAGCGAATGATTCAGAGACAGAGATAATTCACGCTCTCTTTCTGAGAGTGAATGATTCAGAGACAGAGATAATGCATGATCTCTTTCTGATAGTGAATGATTCAGAGACAGAGATAATGCATGATCTCTTTCTGAGAGTGAATGATTCAGAGACAGAGATAATTCACGCTCTCTTTCTGAGAGTGAATGATTCAGAGACAGAGATAATGCATAATCTCTTTCTGAGAGTGAATGATTCAGAGACAGAGATAATGCATAATCTCTTTCTGAGAGTGAATGATTCAGAGACAGAGATAATGCATGATCTCTTTCTGAGAGTGAATGATTCAGAGACAGAGATAATGCATAATCTCTTTCTGAGAATGAAGTAAACTTGTGCTCGTTATGAATCTGAATCGCGAGGGCAGCAATGGGGGGGGGGGGGGGGGGGTGACGCTCCGTGCCGCCTCGCAGCGAGAAGACCCTGGGCTGGGCCTCAGACTCAGGCACATTTACGTGTGCGGTGTGTGTGTGTGGTGTGAGTGTGGTGTGTGTAGTGTGTGTGGTGTGTGTGGTGTGTTGTGTGTAGTGTGTGTGGTGTGAGTGTGTGGTGTGAGTGTGGTGTGTGTAGTGTGTGTGGTGTGGTGTGAGTGTGGTGTGTGTGGTGTGTGTAGTGTGTGTGGTGTGTGTGGTGTGTGTAGTGTGTGTGGTGTGTGTGTGGTGTGTTGTGTGTAGTGTGTGTGGGGTGAGTGTGTGTGGTGTGTGTGTGTGTTCGCCGAGTTCAAATCCCGCTCACGGCCAACCCCAGTGACGTTTATATGAACCGGTCCTGGGCCTCCTCGAAGTCTGCTAAGCCGCAAATGAGTACCTGGTGCCACTCTGGAGACAAAGGCGGTCGGGCCACCTCCTCGTGCGCCGTGCCGACCTTCATAAGTGCTGGCTAACAGCGCTCGCCCCACCCATCTGTCAAGGCTTTACGGGGGATTAATGCTTTATGTGTGTGGGTGCGATGGGGACACAAAGGTGGCCGGGCGTGGTGCTGGTCACCCCACTTCTGTGTAGCCTTCAACATTCTGTTAAAGGCTACACGGGAGATCTTTGTCTGTCTGTCTTTGAGTGAGCTGGAGAACACACACGTGACGTCCAACGTCCGTGAGCAGACGAGCCGCAAGGGAGACGCGGGGAGTCCCGGGCCGCGCTCCGGCTCGCACGCGATGTCACGTCGTGGGTATCATTCTGTCTGTGTGTCTCTGTCTGTGTGTCTCTCTGTCTGTGTGTCTCTGTGTGTCTCTGTCTGTCTCTCTGTCTGTATGTCTGTCTGTGTGTCTCTGTCTGTGTGTCTCTTTGTCTGTGTGTCTCTGTCTGTGGGTGTCTATGTCTGTGTGTGTCTCTGTCTCTGTGTGTCTATGTCCGTGTGTCTCTGTCTGTGTGTCTCTGTCTGTGTGTCTCTGTCGCTCTGTTTGTCTCTATCTGTGTATCTCTCTGTCTGTGTCTCTCTGTCTGCGTGTCTCTCTGTCTGTGTGTCTCTCTGTCTGTGTGTCTGTGTCTGTGTCTCTCTGTATGTGTGTTTCTGTCTGTGTCTCCGTCTGTGTCTCTCTGTCTGTGTGTCTCTCTGTCTGTGTGTCTCTGTCTCTCTGTTTGTGTCTGTCTGTGTATATCTCTGTCTGTGTCTCTCTGTCAGCGTGTCTCTCTGTCTGTGTGTATCTCTGTCTGTGTGTCTCTGTCTGTGTCTCTCTGTCTGTGTGTTTCTGTCTGTCTGTTTGTCTCTGTCTGTGTATCTCTCTGTCTGTGTCTCTCTGTCTGTGTGGCTTTATCTGTGTGTCTCTCTGTCTGTGTCTCTCTGTCTGCGTGTCTCTGTCTGTGTGTTTCTCTGTCTGTGTGTCTCTGTCTGTGTCTCTTTTTCTGTGTGTCTGTCTGTGTGTCTCTGTGTGTGTCTTTGTCTGTGTGTGTCTCTGTCTGTGTGTCTCTGTGTGTCTCTCTGTCTGTGTGTCTCTATCTGTGTGTCTCTGTCTGTGTGTCTCTCTGTCTGTGTGTCTCTCTGTCTGTGTGTCTCTGTCTGTGTCTCTCTGTTTGTGTGTCTCTGTCTGTGTGTCTCTGTCTCTCTGTTTGTGTCTGTCTGTGTGTCTCTCTGTCTGTGTCTCTCTGTCTGTGTGTCTCTGTCTGTGTGTCTCTCTGTCTGTGTCTCTCTGTCTGTATCTCTGTCTGTGTATCTCTGTCTGTGTGTCTCTCTGTCTGTGTGTGTCTCTGTGTCTGTGTGTCTCTGCCTGTGTCTCTGTCTGTGTGTCTCTCTGTCTGTTTGTCTCTTTGTCTGTGTCTCTGTCTGTGTGTGTCTCTGTCTGTGTCTCTCTGTCTGTTTGTTTCTGTCTGTGTGTCTCTGTTTGTGTGTGTCTGGCTGTGTGTCTCTGTCTGTGTCTCTCTGTCTGTGTGTTTCTGTCTGTCTGTTTGTCTCTGTCTGTGTATCTCTCTGTCTGTGTCTCTCTGTCTGTGTGGCTTTATCTGTGTGTCTCTCTGTCTGTGTCTCTCTGTCTGCGTGTCTCTGTCTGTGTGTTTCTCTGTCTATGTGTCTCTGTCTGTGTCTCTTTGTCTGTGTGTCTGTCTGTGTGTCTCTGTGTGTGTCTCTGTCTGTGTGTGTCTCTGTCTGTGTGTGTCTCTGTCTGTGTGTCTCTGTGTGTCTCTCTGTCTGTGTGTCTCTGTCTGTGTGTCTCTCTGTCTGTGTGTCTCTCTGTCTGTGTGTCTCTGTCTGTGTCTCTCTGTCTGTGTGTCTCTGTCTGTGTGTCTCTGTCTCTCTGTTTGTGTCTGTCTGTGTATCTCTCTGTCTGTGTCTCTCTGTCTGCGTGTCTCTCTGTCTGTGTGTCTCTCTGTCTGTGTGTCTCTGTCTGTGTGTCTCTGTCTGTGTGTCTCTGTCTCTCTGTTTGTGTCTGTCTGTGTGTCTCTCTGTCTGTGTCTCTCTGTCTGTGTGTCTCTGTCTGTGTGTCTCTCTGTGTCTGTGTGTCTCTGCCTGTGTCTCTGTCTGTGTGTCTCTCTGTCTGTTTGTCTCTTTGTCTGTGTCTCTGTCTGTCTGTGTCTCTGTCTGTGTCTCTGTCTGTGTCTCTCTGTCTGATTGTCTCTGTCTGTGTGTCTCTGTTTGTGTGTGTCTGGCTGTGTGTCTCTGTCTGTGTGTCTCTGTCTGTGTGTGGTGTGTCTCTCTGTCTCTGTGTGTCTCTGTCTGTGTGTGTCTCTGTCTGTGTCTCTCTGTCTGTGTGTCTCTTTGTCTGTGTGTCTATGTCTGTGTGTGTCTCTGTCTCTGTGTGTCTCTGTCTGTGTGTCTCTCTGTCTGTGTGCCCCTGTCTGTGTGTCTCTCTGTCTGTGTGTGTCTCTGTCTGTGTGTCTCTGTCTGTGTGTCTCTGTCTGTGTGTCTCTCTGTCTGTGTTTCTGTCTGTCTGTGTGTCTCTGTTTGTGTGTCTCTCTGTGTGTCTCTGTCTGTGTGTCTCTGTCTGTGTGTATCTGTCTGTCTGTTTGTCTCTCTGTCTGTGTGTCTCTGTCTGTCTGTTTGTCTCTGTCTGTGTATCTCTCTATCTGTGTCTCTCTGTCTGCGTGTCTCTGTCTGTGTGTCTCTGTCTGTGTGTCTCTCTGTGTGTCTC